CAAGTGAAACACGCGCGTGAAACAGGGCCATTTAAAAGCTGTCTCTGCTAATTAAAGTCCTCCCCCCCACAGTCACTAGCCCTTGCTTTTTGGATCTCTGCGTGGGGAACGTGGAAGGTCCCGCGCGCCTTCCAGACAGGCTCACAGCAGCCTTGAAATTGTGGAGCTCCAGACAAACAAACGAGTCTGTAAAACGCCTGTCGCTTTGCTCCAAGCACAGCTCTGCCAGGGATTCTCAAGGATTCTTCTTGGAGGGCGAGCAGGAGCTGCCACAGCCGCTTTGGAGAGATGGGAGTGTTTTGCTGTCATTAACCCCTGTTCGGGGAGATAAATGCACACGCGCAGAATCGTACCTTCTAAAACTACTGAGCTTTTGAATAAGACTTCTGAATGTGCCGTGTCATACCTAACTTACCCTCCAGTTTGTTGCTGTTTATCTCCACAAGAGGAATAATCAATAAATTATCCTCTGCAGGAGACTCCTGTAATCACTGCCTTCATCTGCTAGCTTACTAGAGACGAGCTCCTCTTCTTCAGACATTGGGAAGACCGTGTGAACTAGAAGCATTTTGAAGCTAGCCCTGCCTGTATATATAATATCAACAAAGTCTTGGCTAGCAAGCACAGCTCTTCTTGGCAAAATTTATCTTGAGCAAGGTGCCTGAATTAATTTTGCCTTTCAAGATACTGAGGCGAAACTGTTACTGTTGATACTGTTCAGATCCTGACTGCTGCTTCGGCTGGCCTCCTGCTCCTGGAAGTCTTTGCTGCTACTCAGTTTATTTTAGTTACCCATCGCTGGGCAGATCGTTGTATTAGGAACCACAGCTCTTACTAGTCAGCTGCACAACGCGACGCAGCGTGAATTTGCTGGTAGAGGAAAAATCGCCTGCTTGCTCTGGGATTTAAAACACTCATTGGTTCTCTGGGGGTGGGTGGAGGCTCACAAACTGGTCTTTAGCTGTGTAAAGGCAAATTTGAACAATATCTTGACATAACGTTTACAGCACTCTGCGTTATCCATGCACCTGTTAGTGTGATGTGTTCACAGGGCCATCTTTAAGGCTTTGCGTGTCATAAAATGCTCCCACTGAGAAGTTTAGGATACTGTCATTTCTGAAGTCAGCCATATCAACTTGTGCTAGCTAAGCATACATATTCTAATAATAAATGAACCTAACAGAACCTAATGCATCATAATTGTTTATCAGGTTCAGGAAGTTTGACAGCCATTTTGCACGTGAAAATATTTTAGATTATATATCGAGCTCTATATATTAAGTATGTGCTTTAACACTTTGATCAGTTAGCATAAATGCTGTTTGCTGGTTATTTCAGCTATCTCAGATGATACACATTGAAACTGTTACAGGGCTATCCTCGAGACCCTGCTGTGTTTGGTCTGTCCTTTAAGAAGGTGAAAATGAATTTCCCAATTTGGAGTCAGGCACATTCTCCCTGTGAGTCATGTTCAGAGTCCACTAAGGTCAAGAAAGGCCTTTGCTTTGTGCTCCCTGGATTTCAAATCAGGCCCAGGTGCACCTGTACTTTCTAGGATGTTTTGCTGAAAAGGGATGCTGCAGGAGGAAAAGCTTTTTAAACATCCACGATTTTTGGAAGAGCGTTAATGCACGTCTATTAACAGAGCAAAACAAAAATGATGCCGCGTGGGGAACGGGGAACATAAGCGAATATTCATCTTCCAGGGTATTTTGCTGTGAGGAGGGTTAAATTAAAGGATAAACCCGATAGATTTTCCTGTGTAAACAATTCTACTCTCTCTGTCTCTCAGTAGGCACGAGGCTAGCTGCAGGAAGAGGAGCAGGCGTTCAGTTAGCTTTCACTTTACCCTGAAATACGGCAGTTACATATACGTAGGGCGGCACAATGGTTTTAAAATGTCGCTTCTCACTACAGTGAGTTTGTCTAAATGGGGATATTCAGAAGCACTGAAGTGGAAACTAACTGCGTGGGCGTAAAGTCGGTGACTATAAATCAGTAGGTTAATCCTCAGGTAGGTAGGTTCTATCAAGTGAAACGTTTGCTGTAACTTAGTCATCCTACACACAGGGACTTCACGCCTACAGATGATTCACTTGCTATTTCTGGACGGTCCGTGTATAGGCTTGGCTTGACTTTTAAGTCTGAACTGGTTGAAATTTCAGTATATGTGAGAGGAAAGGTGATGCGGTTCAACCTTTGTCTTAACTTGACCCACCCCCGTTCCTGCCCCGCACGGAGCGAGGCCCCGGCTGTGTTTGGGGCGCTGCTGCTGCGTTTGCACGGTGGCGGTTCCTTTGCCTGGCTCCTGGCGTTCCGGGCAAACGGAGCCACTTCAGGAAGGCGAGGCCTCAAGTCCCACTGTGGGTTGATCGGGTACAGGTTTATATACCCTGAGTAAGGATAAGGAAGATTAAAGGATGGAAACTTTCCTCTCTGAGTCCAAACCGCCCGTTTAATTGAACGGGAGCTCCTTGACCTGACAAACGTGGAAAATACCTCCAGCCACGTATTAGCTTTCCTCTACTGCACGCTTTGTTCTTTTGTTTTTCCTTGACTGTTAAGTTAGTTTCAACACTTAGTAGCACTTCAAATACGAAATTTAATAGCAAAGAATGATGATAAAGTGTGTGTGTGGGGAATACGCAATACAGAAATAAATAATGGTCGTATTTAATCACGTTAATGGCAGCAGGCTAAACCCTGTTACACACACAGAAAAGTCACTCTTACAAATCTTTAAAATTGCCTCTTTCTGGAATGTGATTTTTTTTTTTAAGTGGAATTAAGCTCACCATGTGAAAGATCCTCCGCAGCATTCAGAAAGATTTATCTCCGGGACTCTATTACACACCAACCTTACGAGGACGTGAGCGTGTGTAAAAAAATCTTTAAAGTTCTCCCTGGAAAACTTTACAGAAGAAAGCTCGCTTTGAAGGGTGAATTTATAGATGGAACGAGAGGCTGTCCAGAAGCTGAAAAAGAGAGTGTGCTGAGACAGTGGGTACAGGAGGAGCTGCACCAGTGGCTGAGGGAGACATTTCGTGGGCTTTCTAGAGAGGTGATTTATGATGGAGGAAAGGTAGTATCCAAACGGAGGTGACACTGAGTGGATTTCATCTTCAAGAACTTGCACAGTGTTTTAAGACTTTTTGTGTCCTTCTAGTAAAGAGCAGCCTCAGGGAAAGGCTCTTAGATGTCCCCAGTTAGGTACGATTTTTTTTTTTTTTTTAAATTGCTCTACACTGTTAGGCAACAGGGAAGGCCAAAAGTGCCAGCTTTATTTCTGATGGAAATCCTTTGATGGAAAAGGATTTTTACCCACCAAAAAGGACTGCCACAAAGCAGGAGAAAGTTTTATTTGCCTATCCAGCAAGAGAGAGTGGTGAGCATTTGCATGTGTTCTCCCTCTTCCTCTAAATATACTTAATGCTGTAAAAATACAATAAATGATGGCAATCCAAAGACTTTCTTTGGTCCAGAAAACCTTTTTCATTAGCTGCAATCCCATATACAACCATCAGAAAAGAAATTAGTATTTAGTAAGTTATATGTGGTGAAGGAAGAGTTCTGAATTTGTGTGCTCTGCAACTTCCTCACAAAGAGGAGAGAGATAATGGCAAAAGTTAAATTTACTCTGGGTGTTGGTGGTCATTTATATGTAAGTGAATTTTGCCTTATGTCTCCCTGTTTCTCAGGAGGTATGTGACTCTAATCACGTGGTTCTGATTTTATTTTGCTCACATTCATGAAAATAGATCAAATTGTGATTTTTCTCCTCACTCTTAGGTTTATTTCTGCTTTCATTTGTTGTTGGGTTTTTTGGTCTTAGCTAATTATGATTTTTTTAGAGACTTAATTTTTTATGTACACGTTTTCCAAGAGAGAAAGTGTTGTTCCAAAAGACCTTTGTGTAAAAAGTCCTGGACTCTCTTCAGTGCTGTCTGTTTTTAAGCTGACATCATTTCTGCTTAAGAAAGCAAGCAAATAACTCTTCTGGAAAGTATGGCAGTGCTTCCACTGTACAATTAAAGTAAAGATAGCAATGATGCCTGTTTGTGTGTGGAGAGCTTGAGATACCGTGTCCTGTTCCAAGCACCTTAAAGGGAGCATTTAATGTTTTGTGTTTTTGTTTTTGTTTTTGGTTTTTTTTTCCTTCCTGGGGCTCTGTACTAAATAAGGATATCTCTGTCTTGTTTTATATAACAGCTTTTTGGAAGACATTTTTGTTTTTTTTTATTTGCTTTGCAAACAGTTTTAATTGCTTATGATCAGTCTGTAAATTCTCTTTTCAGAGGTGATTGTTAAATGTAAGCCATTTCAAGTATAGGATATAAAGACGAGTGGGAGTAGCAGGACTAGGAGCAGGACTAATCCTACTACTGTGTGTACAGGACTGACACGGTTAAATCTCTCCTCACTGCTCTGAAAAAAAGCACGTCCTGATGTTGTATTTAATGACTCTGTATGTGATGAATGGTGCCATAAAACTCTCTGTTGTGGTAAATTGCTTGACAACATTGAAATTAGGAGATATGTTTTATTATCTAATGTCTGCCTGAACATATAAAATAAAAAATGAATAAAATTGGGGGGAGAATCACTGTTATCTGATACATGAATATTTATAGAGATATTTTCAGTGAACAATTAATTTTGCAGACTTCTAAGCTCGAGGTTTAATCCCTGGCTCGAACAGTTTGCCTTCCTATGATTGTTTTATTTTTGAACCGTATTTTTATTTTTAAACTGTCAGGTGAGATGCCAAAATCCAATGGCATTCGAGGGTCTGTGTAAGCCATGAATGCTGAATATTTTCTCTCTGACAACTCCAGACAGACAAGCGCTTCCCTGATGCCCTGATACTCAGCATGTCTTGGAGCAAGTTGACGCGAATGTTATGCTTCATGCATTATTACATGCCTGGTTTATCCCTGCTCACTGACCTGGTCTTTCTCTCTCCCTCTTTTCTCCACCCCTTCCCCGCTCCCTCGGTGTAGCTTTCGCTCCCGGAGGAACAGAATGAAGTAACGAGGAACGGCTGTGAATCCAAGGAACTGGTCTACCTCGTACAGATCTCATGTCAGGTAAATGCCACGTTTTCTCCCTCTCCACCACCTCGTTTTGCAGACTGTACTGCATTCCGCAGCCGCGGAATATTTTGAGATGACACTTTTTCTGCGGTGCGTGCGTTTTTTGTTTTTTTTTTTTTTTTTTTTTTTTTCTCTTCCCACTTCTTCACTAGCTCAGTCATCAGAAGGATGCTGTCTGTGGTACTGCCACCAGCTCATTTTAAACAAAGGAGCATCAAGGGGAGAAAAAGGAGTCGTTTAAGCAAATTATCCCCACTACAGTTTGTGCAGAACTGCACAGCGATTAGCCGGGCGACACAAATGTGTATGTTTAGGCTACGTGTGCGTATGTGGTGTGTCAGCTGGGGGGAGCGTGCAGTGACACACGGACACACCAGGTACATAAGCGGGGTCGTATCCGAGGGAGAATGCCGGACAGTGTTTTTGGGGATCAAGGCATGCTGCTGGCAGCCAGGAGGTGGGGATTCCTGATCTGTTCCCAGTTATGCCTCCAGACATCTGGTATGAAATTCTTTCGACTGCCTCTGCGACTGTGGTATCAAACTGCTTTGGGCAGATCAGTCTGCCACTTTGTACCACAGACTCCCTGTCTGCTAATACGGGGATATGTGACTTTGTAAAATGCTGTGTAACAGGTTATCGTATTTTAAAATGTTGAACGGAATGGGTGTTTGTGGGAGACGTATGGCATTGACAAATTCAGGTGAGAGTTAGTGCCTGTGTTTGGTCATTTTTGTGGCCTTAGCCTAGCAGTTCATTTCATGAATCGTATCAGCACTTCTTGGGCATCCATCTTATCACTTTATGCTGAACATTAATGGGAATCAGGGTGGTGTCTGTCTCTCTTTTTAAAGCTTCTTACGTGATTCTGCTGACATTCCTCAGGTATTAAAAAGAAGCGTATGGAACAGGCACACCTGTCTTGCCTACATTTGAATTGACTGGGGTAAGGAAGTATTTCCTGTCAGGCTGTACCAGCGTAGTGACATTAGTACAGACAGAAACATGAATTTGCAGTGAACTTGCTCTTCTGCGCTAATCCTGGGTAGCATGCTGGTGTAGGGTGAAGTGGGAGAGCTGAGGAGCAGAGCATCCTGCTCTCTTTTGAAGGTGGAGCTTGGCACAGGCTGAGCTCTGGCAGTGTGCTTAGTGTGATAGAAGCACACAGAGTAATTCCTCCCTGCTGACAGCTTTTACAGTGCAGGTACGCACATGCACTATACATATATATATATACACATACACCTGTATATAGAAATACTGCTCTTGGGAGAGGGAAGAGAGGCTGAAAGTGAACATCTCTCCAAATTACTTGTGTTTGGGCATTTTGCTAGTACTGTTCTAACCCAGCTGTAGCCAGTTTCATACAAAACAATCACTTTTCAGAAAATCAATCCAAGCTAACAAGCAGCACTGCAAAATTTAACGGTGGACACGTGTCTGTATCCCAGCCAAGAGCCAGTACGGTGACCGAGAGTGAGATTTTTCAGGGGACTTAAGGAAATTGGAATGTCAGTACATTCTGAGACCTCACATTTGGGCTTGCATTTGCAGTGCTTAATGCAGAGATGAACGCTGTGTTTTTTCCTGACTGTTTCAGGTGGCCCTGTAGAAGTACCAGTATTTTATAGAACAGTTTTCTCTAACTCTGAACCATACCACTTCTGATCTTTCTACCTCCCTTATGGACATCGCTAAAGATCACTGGGACACCCTCAGGTATTATTGTGTCCTTAAACCCTGCAGAACGTGTTTGAGCTGGAGCAAGCCCCAGGAGTAGCAAATAGCCCGTGCGAGGCATCCATGGGGCGCTGATCGGGGTGAGCCTTGATGTCCATCCAGCAGCTTGCTGGACACTTCTGTCGGGCTCTCAGCTGCTTTGCAGGGCTGTTTCTGAGAATACGGTGCAGAGACTTGATGGGCATTGAACCAGTCACCTCTTTCTTTTTTTCCCTGCCCATTTTTTTTTTTTTTTTTTAAGTAATTCTTCTAGCTAGCTAGAATTTCTCCCTGCCCCAAGTCTATGTTGAGCTCTTGCATGTCAATGCGTGTCCCTGTCTCTCAGGTACTTACAAAGCTGAGAAACTTGTGGCATCTGGATTCAATGAATGGGAAAGGCATGGAAGGAGCTGCATGGCTGAGCATCGTTTCTGCCACGGAGATACTTCACCCCTGACACCTCGTGGCCTCTCCTAATGTCCAGGGAAAAATTCCATTCTGTCACGTGCTGGATACCAGCGGTGTCTGGATGGATTTGGCTCCATATTAGAATTGAATGGGAGGTGTGAAATAACTCATGGAATGATAGTGCAGTGGGGAGAGATTTTGGCAGGAAGCATCTGTATCAGGCCAAAAATATTGAAGGAGGGAGGAAAAAAAAAGACTATTAACCAAATTTCACTTTGCTTGTCTTTTGGGTATGCTACTAGCATTGGTGTTCAGCCTGCTGCAGCAGCTTGCAAAAATGTCCCCGATTTCTCAGATGGACACAGAGAAAATTAATTCTGTTAAAGAAGGCTAAATTCATATAAATTTAAAAGCTTGAAGATAGCTGTGATTTGTTGCAAAAACAGCTAGCATGAGAAGAGCAAGGGCATTTGTCCATCCTGGCAATTTTAGATTACAGCCTTTAGAGAAATAAGCTAAAAAGCCGTGGGATTGAATGCGTTATACTGCTGTGCCTTGCCCAGTTTGGGCTGTGCAGATACAATCTGTGTGTTGTATAGCCCATAAAAAGACATTTATTTTGTCATTTCACTCTGTAGCAGAAAACAAACCAAAGCGTTTGAACATTAGACTTTTAAAACGTCCAGCTCAGTCTTAGCTGTGTTTGGCAGACTCCAGTTCGGCATTTACACTGAGGAAATTCTATCCCACTCTTTCCCATCTGTAAGTATAATGTTAGTGGTGTAAAGAGAATTATTGTTTGATGCCTATTTGGCAAAGTCTTCCCAGATAAGGTTCGAAAGAAATTTTTGGGGAGTTGTATTTGTGAAAGATTTCTGCTGCAAGTCAGCTTGTGAAATACAAGCTTTGTGTGAGGTTCAGAGGGTTGGTGTTTGGGTTTTGTTTTTTTTTTTTTGAGTCTCTATTCAGCTTTTCTTCTTCTTAGAGACCTCAAAAAGTTAATCCAGTGTATTAGCTCTTAAGGAGAAGTGGGAATATATAGAGAGCTGTTCCAAGGGTTTCTGAAAAGTAGAAAGATAGGATTCTTCTTTTGATTTCTTTGAACAAATTTAAACATGAAAACTAGCAAATGACAAAGTGTTTTAAATCTTATTGGAAATAGCTGATGATAGGGGGGGTTTGGTTTGGTTTTTTTTTTTTTTTTTTTTAGAGCAATGTAGGTGGATTTTCCTTTTTTTCCAAGTAAAATTTCACTGTTTAACTTTCATTCATTTCCAGAAGATAGCTTATAGGACATCTACTGTTACTGCTGTTGAAAGATTGTGATTATTAAAAGAAATGTAAACAAAATCCCTTTCCATGATAAAAGAAAGGATGGAGGAGTGAATGGAAAGAAGGCTTTTTTAAACAATCTACAAATGCTTGAAATCGATCTGAGGAAGGATTTTTGGGAAAAGGAATAATGGTTTTGAGTTTGCACTTTCCCAGAGTGCAGTCAGTATGCCGCGTGCGTTTTTGCTAGGGAGGAAAATGTCGCTAAAGAATGTTGGATGAATGTTTTTTGTGTAGGAAACAGAGAAGGATAAAATCCTGGGAGGGATGGTGGTGCGAGGACTGTACCTGTGAGCCTTCTGAAGTCTTCAGACAGTAATTGCAAGCCCTAACAACAACTGTGGTCTTTAAAAGACCATAGGGAATGCCTGAGACCTTTCTGAGGTTGTGCTGCACCTGTAGGCTGTGATGGTCCACTGACAGCGTTTGCAGTCCTTGCTGAGTTCCACGGGGGTAAGCGAAGAATTTATGAGGTCTGCAACACATTTAAAAGGCGTTGCTACGTGTGGTGAGAATAAACCGACAAAAGTAAGAGCCTGCAAAAAGGTTGAAATAGGCTAATCCATCCAGCATGCTTTGTCAGGTTGTAAAGCAGGCTGAAAATAGGCCTTTTTAATGTTTTGGGATTTGTTTGTGTGACGCTACAGCAGCAACTACCTGCATATGTATTTAAATGCGACAACGTAAGAATGGCCAGTCTAAGGTTCTCGTCTGAAAAATGAAAGAAAAATAAAAAGCATGCAGTAGTAATCACAAGGCGAGTTTTGTGGCATTTCAACACTTCCAAAAAAATAATTTTTTTGTGAAATTTTGAATGGTAAGGAGAGAACAAGAGACCAGTTGGGAAAATGTTCAAGTTCTAAGGGAGACCTTAAAGTCTAGCCATCTCCTGTGGGTTTTGTTGTTCATTTTCATTATCACAGGTAGACTGTTGAAACAGAAATGACAGGCACTAGAAACCAGAAACGTTAGCTTATGCAAGCACGAGTGATGTTTAAAAAAATCTTAGGACTAGATCTCATGATAGACCCTTCACCACAGACTGGCTGTTGTGGTCTCAGAACCGAGCCACGCGGCCTTCTCCTTTTCCTGCGTTTCGTGGGATAATGCCAACGTCCTGCCGAGGAAGCCTCTTTCTGCTGCAGCTTAGGTAGCTTGCTGAGGCTCCTCTCGAAGCAGGAAGCTCTCGTGGTCCAAGCACGGGTTTTCTCCATTTCTCTGCTCACGTTTGCAGACCCCACACCGGCAGTAAGTTGAGCCGTGCGGCTTTGTCGCACAGGATGCGCCGTACTTTGCCCCGTTCCTCTTTTTTTTGCCCAAGGCAGCCATTGCTGTCTGTGCTGTGTTCGTTTTGATTGATAGAATAAGGTCTCTGATGTCCTCGAAGGCGGCATTCACACAAATGCATGCCGCTTGTATCTCCCAGCTCTGCCTTGCAGGAGATTCAAGCTCTCAGTGTCTTGTTTGCAGAACGATATTTGCAAAACTCTGAAGGCAACCCCATCCAGCGTTCCGGGGCTGGAAGCGTGGTTGCA